AGAGAACCAAACAAGATTTTGCTTTTCACTGCTTTGGGGCAAAACACACCCTCCTGGGTCAGCGTTCACGTCTTGATATTGTTTATTAAAACAGTTATTTACCTGTTTGCAGGAACCCACCTGTTATTTTTATAAGGGACACTCTCCTGACCAAAGTAAAAAAAGCTGGTAGCACAAATGACCTCACGGTTGGGCTCAGCACTGTACTTCTGATCCTTGTTGTGTTGGTAGCCCACCTTATGAGGTATGCAAATCCACAAAGCTACTGTGCATGCTAGGGAAATGCTTAGCCTTAGCTGGCCACTGATAGCTCTGGGGTTGTATAGGCTCATACTGCGAAGTGATCCATCAAAGCCTGTTAGCATGTGCTTAGCTTGAAGCTGAGGAACAGGCTCATTGAAATCAAGTCACTTTATAGGTATGAAACACTGAAGCCAATAGGAACACTTGGGCTTCAAATGAAGCATATGCTTAGATACTTTCTCAAATGGGTACTACTGTGCTGCTCCCATGCCAGCTGTGTCTCATGCTTCTCTGCCTTCATGCATTTACCTTTTTCTATAACCCATATCTTCACTGCTTCTTTCTTCCTTCTGTCCTTTTCCTCCCTTTCTCACTCCTCCCTGCTCTGGGTGTGGGTGGTGGATGAACCTCTGCTTTGGGGAAGGTAGCCCCAGCCCTTCCATCTAAGGCCCTGCCCCTAGCATGTTAGAGCCCCAAACTCCTCCTCCTCCTCTCTGCAACTGGAGGAGCCCTGCCCTGCCCATCCCCTACTAGCGGCCTGGGTCCATCACCTAGCTGAGTCATCAGCCTTCCTGAACGATGCCCTCCTGAGCTCTAGGCAGGCCAGTGACTGGCCAGTCTGCCTCAATCCTCCACTCAACCACACCTGCCCACTTGCTACTGGCTCGACTCATCCTTGCCCATCTCCTTATTCCCCAGCCAGGCCCCGCCCCACACCTGCTGCTGGATTGCCATGCCCTTCCTCACTCCCCCCACCCCTGAGGAGAAGGGATGCAGTGAATAGTAGGGGGAAGGGAGAGGGTGGGAGCGGAGGAAAACTTACTAGGCATGGCAGACAGCAGCAGGAAGCAGTGGGGCCTTGGGGAATGGGCAGAGCACTATGGCCCAGGGGTCCAGCAGTGGCTAAGTTAGGGAGAAGGTTAGCCTTACCTGGCCCATTATACCCCCTTGGCTCTAGCGCTGTTTGCCTCTCATTTCTCTGTGTTCTGGGTTCTTTCTCTCACTCTTGCCTCATCTCCATACACTGGCTCTAGCTCTGTGTCCCAGATAACTGCCCAGTTGTCTCTGGAGGCACCTAGAATTCCAGCCAGATTCATTTCATTTCTGAGGGAGTCTAACATGACTGAAATGATTGGCATCAATCTGCCTGTATTAAGGGAGAGTGCAGCTGCTGCTCAGGATATTTTTTCCTCCTTTCCCCCCTTTCTGGTTACTTCTGTACAGTGGGCAAGCAGACATCTGTCTAAGGCTGGTTACAATCCACACAGCAGTGCCAGGCTCCCCAGTCAGGTGTCTGTCCTACTCTTCAGTGGCACACAACATTTTCTATAAAGGGCAGCACCATTGTAGTTAACAGTAAGACAATCTTACTGGTTAACCCTTGTATAAGTGCCAGATTCCTAGGGTATTTAGTAGCTAGCCCTGCTTTCAAGATCAAGTGAAGACAGTGGTCTGAGCACAGGACTGGGAGCCAGGAACTTTGGAGTGCTAATCCTAGCTCTGACTTTGACTCTCCCTATGGGCTTGGGCTCTCTACTTCAGTTTCCCTAGCACTATAGCAGAAATAATAACAATACTTACCTCACCAGGCTGCTCTGAGAAATGAGGAGTTCATAAAGCACTTGGACACTGTAAGTCAGGAGTGGGCAATAATTTTTTATGGGGAGCCACTCCAAGAATTTGATAAGTGGTCAAGGGCTGCACTCTTCCATGATATTAATGGAGGACATGTGGGGTGTGAGATGCAGGCTGGGTGCATAAAGGAGCTCCAGATAAGGGAAACTTGGTATTATTTTCAGTGCTTAATTGGTAATGAAAGAAGTGCTGGGACTTAATCAATTAGGTGCCAAGACTCACGACATTTTTTTAATACTCATAACTGATGTGGCAAGCCTTGAGGTTCTGGTGCTATGAAATATCAAGTCTAGAGGCGCTTGGGTTCAGGCCTGGCAAGCCTTGGCACTAATTCAGCACCGATTAGTTTCAGAAATAGACTCTGGTTATCCACCTATTCATATTGGGTAACACAATTATCTACCACCCTTCAGAAGAAGCCGCTGTTTTACTATCAATCAAATGAGTTACTGTCCTAGAACAGTGTTTCTCAACCTTTTTTTATAAAGTACCTACCTCCTTTTTAAAAAATTATGAGTACCTCTTTTTTTTTAAAAGATAATTATAAGTACCCCCAGTACCTACAGTTTTCAGACGCACAATTTTTTTCTGCCATGGCAACACATTTGTTTAAACAACTTAATCTTAGACAGGTGGGAGATGACATTTTTGGGTGTAAAAAGTACAAAAATAATAAAGTGCTGCAAAACTTAAGCTACAGGTATTCGGGCATACATGCAGAGTGAATGACAAGCGAAAAGTTAAGACCCTGGTATTCGGCGTAATGGATGGTCTGTATAAAAGAGGCAGACCCCACAGAGAATGGGTAGATGATATAGTAGATTGGTGCAGAGCTAGTCTACAGAAACTAAGCCACTCCTCACTGGGCAGGGAAAGATGGAAGGCAATAGTGAGGGAGGTATCAGACACCAACGGGCGTTGAGCCCATGGTTGATGATGATGGTGATGATGATATAAAACTTAAAACAAAAATTCAGTTTTCTCCAAATTTCAGTTGTGTTGATGTACCCCCAGACTTCTCTCGAGTATCCCCCTAGGGGTACTCGTACCACTGGTTGAGAAACACTGTCCTAGAATATTTCCTTTTTCTTGTCTTGTCACAAAAAGTCTATAGCCACCCATGGGTTGCTGCCTATCTCAATGGCATACACTTGCTATTGTGTGCCTGCAAAGAACTGCATGCATCATTCCAGATCATTCTTACCATTGTCATATACAGAGGTAAAATCACCTCAATGTACCTATTCCTGTGGTTATCCATCCACTAGCTCCTTACCCC